CGGAAGAGGAATTTTCTGATGATGACGATGATGGTAACGATTTAACTGATTTTATTGTTCCGGATGATCAAGTTGAACAATCAGAAGATGAAAGTGATGATGAAGAAAGTGATAACGAGGATGACAGCGAAGACAACGAAATTAATGAGGCTCAAGCGTTACATTCAGTTAAAGAGGAGAGTCTAAATAATCTTAAATTAAATAAAAATGAAAGTCTTAATAATTCTAAATTAAAGAATAATGCAAGTTTTAATAAATCAAATTCCATCAAGGATAAAAGCACCTTACAAAATCTTTCTAAATCAGTAAAAAGTGAGACTCCAGAGTCGCGTAAAAGTATTACCAAGGATTCAAAATCATTTAATGATAAAAGAAGTGATACTTCAGAATCAGAGTATTCTGAATCATTGAACTCTGATACAGAAGAAATTACAAAGAATGTGACATCTGATACAAACAAGAATATGAACATTGCATCTCCATCGTCAGAATCGGAATCCGAATCCGAGGACGGCGAAGATTCTTATCATGTAATAACAGTTGACCAAACGAATACAAGTTGTTCTCGTTCAGTTTCCTCAAAAACGAAAAAGGTGACACCTTTAATAGAGTGTAGTACTCCAAAACCAGGCGTAATAAAAAAAAATGATTTTTCTAAAGGTGCAGATAGCTTTGCTGATTCACATAATCTGCCAATAGCAGTGAACAAGTCAAATTTTACGAGACATAAATCAGAAAGTTTGAATGACTTATCTGATACAAAGATAGTCTCGAGTAGAATGAGCATTGCCGAAGTCGCATCTAAATCTAATCATGATAATTCAGTCAAGTTCAAGGAGAGTATTGAAACAGACGATAGGGAAGAACTGACTGGAAGTATTATAAAGAATCGGCAGGCATGGAAGCTGATTCCATTGAATCAGACGGCTTACATGCTTAGTAATGAAACTCCCGTCACTAAGTATCTTAAGAAGTCTAAATTGAACGATTCAGCCCCTGATTCAGAAATAAGGAGGAGTGGTGTTGTTCGAGCGGAAGCTTCATTGGATAAAAGTGATTTGACAAATAAAAAATCAATCAAGAAATTTAAGAAGATGCAAGAATCAGATGAGGGTGAGGAAGAGGAAGCGGAGGAGAAGAAAAAAGCAGTGGTTCATACTTCATTGAATGATAGAAAATCAAAAAAACGTAAACTACATGATATATCAAATCCGACTTCAAGTAACGAGGATAGTATATTGAAAACGACGAAAAAGAAACGAGCTCGAATCGAGGAATCAATAATTGAAGAAGCATCCCAATTACAAATTGAGAATAAAAAACCTGAGAATGTGCAAAAAAAGAAAAAGAAAGAGATAAACGATAAAAACCTGAAAACAGAAGAATACGTTGTAGAGGCAACTGAGCCTGATGTCATGAAGGTTGCGCAACAGGGTAAAAAGAAGAAAAAGAAGAAGAAGAAGAACAACGACAACAACAACAAGAATAATAATAATATGGAAATAGATCAAAGTATCGAAGAAATAGCTGTGCCCGACATCGTGAAGGATGCTCAACAGACTAAGAAAGAAAAAAAGAATAAGTGTAAGGAGGTACAGCAGCAATTGCTAGAGAGATCGCAAAGTACAGACGATAAAAAAATGAAAAAGAATAAAGAAAAACAGCAAGCTAAGTGTATTCATAAAAATAAACAAGAGGGCCAAGAAGTCTCGAATATCGAAGTAACGAAACAGAAGAAAAAGAAGGTTCGTTCTAACGACGATCGATTTGATCAAAAGCAATTAGATGTTGAGCCAATGAAGTCGCAAATAAAGTCGAATGTTACTTCGGATACGAGAAATCAGCAACAACCAAAACAATTAAAAAAAAAAAAGAGATTGATAGATGAAGATGTGGATGATGAAAATGCCCCAGAAAGCATGGGTTTCGAGGAAGCTCGTAGCTCTGTTTTGACAGCGATGCAACGAGAAGTAGAAGCCATTCGGGCCCAAAAACTTGCGCGCAGGAAAAAGCAAAAGATCGAGCCGACGGCGCCGGCCGAAAAGACGAGCTTGAAACGTCTGCCCGATAAAGTACTAAAAGCTCTTACAGATGAGTCTACTGCAAAGAAGAGCAGTAAGCAGCGTAAAAAGCCTAAAAACAAGGCAGATGCCAAAGTCGCCGTACCCTCGACGTCGATGTTCAGCCCCGGGAAAAAGGCGCCAGCAAATCTCGAAGTTGACGACGGCTACGTATCACTTAATTTGGATGGTGGTACAACGCAATTTGGCGTTGTTAACCTCGAAAAGGCCAAAAAGTTCACGAAAAAGAATGCCGCTGTTATATCTTTCCGCGAGAAGATGCTTTCGAGGAATTTAAGACAGCCTACTGCGACCTATCTTATGTATTTAAAAAAGCAAAAATCCAAAACGTCACTCTGAGAGTGTACATGAAAGCACTTGAACCTACGGTGAACACTTGAAATTTCCAATACATTTTATACTTGTTAAGTTAGATATAATTTATGCAAGTTTTTGCTTGATTTTTAAATCGATTTTATTATCATTTTAGTTTTGTGGGTGAATTTTGGAGATTACGAAATCCGAGAATACTTTGAAAATTTTGTGACAATATTTGTTTAATTTACTTTTATTATTATTATTAACTCTTCATATTATTACTATAAATAATTACTACACTGTCATTATTATCATCATTTTTAAATTGAGCCAGTTCTTAATAGTTATGAATGGAATTTTTTAATTCATTGATTATTTTCTATAACGTTTCTCATTAGCTCGAGCTTAATAAGTGTTGAAACATATAACGTAGTTTAAGATTTTTTTTATAATTAACCGCTTGCAAAAGTCATTGAGGATTCACCATTGTATGGTTGTCTTTGTCGATTTATGCTAAAGGGATAGTAACGTATGATATAAGAAGAAAAAGTGATAGTAAATACAGAAGATATATATTATAAACTTAATAAGATGTGAAATATTTTATGGGTGAATTATAAATACGTACTAAACTATAATATAATAAATATGTGCTCCTTTCATCATAAAATATAAAATTTTTTGTTTCTGCGAGTGAAATGCATGTAGAATCGCTGATCATGTATTGTCAATATATAGAATTTTTCTAAAGAAATTACTTCATGGTTATGATAAATTATGTATGAGAAATATTACTAATAAAATTAGTGTAAAATTAAGATATTTTATTTAAGTTACAGTTTTACGTAGTCTTGCCTTTATTAAAGTACGAAATATTTCGCTGAGTACAATTAATTAAAGAAATTGCCATATTAAAGTAGATTATTATTATCGATATCAAACTATGATATATTATTGAATACAAATTAAATTCTACAATATTTTCTCGGAATATAATATAGAAAAGATTTCCAAGTATTTCATTACCATTGTAAAGGCATGTAAGAAGTGATATTTTCGTTTTTGTTTGCTACTGTAAGAATTTTGTTCCCTATAATTATTTTCATTATTAAGGGATCATATTTTACTTTTTATGAACTGTCAAACAATTTATCTTACGTTATAAGAGAAATCACAGATATAAAAGATTTGGCGGCTGAAATATTTCATGCAATAGCAATAATTTAAAAATATTCATTGTCATACAAATTCCATGATTGTTATAACATATTTTTCTATATTTTTATTTCTTATACAAAATATGTAAGAAAATTGTAAACAGTGTAATAAATAATTTAACAACGAATATGTCAATAGTATTATTATTATTATTCCTTTATTTTTACATTATTCTTATCATTGTAATAATTTTTACTGAAAATTTATTATCTAAATATAAAATATAATAGATTTAGAAATCTAAAAATATATGTATATATATCGTTATTAAATAAAGAAAATGTAAAGTGTATTTATTATATGCAATTATAAAACTGTCGAAAATTATCTAGTTTAACCTCACTTCTTATATAATTAATATAACTTACGAAATATAAAACTGACTAATTTCGAGAAGAATTTAAAAATTAAATACTATTGAAATTCATCATTTACAGGATGCGTGATTAAATAAGAGATTGCTTCATGATTTTTTTCATATATCGGCAATTAATCTTTATAATATAAATGCAAAATTACATCTTTACAATCATTAATAAAAAATTAATTAATTAATCGTATTTAATCGCAAATGTACTGATAACGAAAAAAAGGATGGTAATACAATGAATAAACTTATATATTTATTAAACAAATCTTTATTCTTCTGATTAGAATTAGTTTAACAATTTTAAATTTTATTTTAAAGTTTAAATTTTATTATATAATGGTTAAGAGAGAGGATTCAATAATTATTAATTATTTTTTACTAATTTAGTATATTTGTTCACTTGACTTACTTCTTGTAAAAGCTTAAATTATTTGATAAGGCGTTGCTTTTAAGTTTGTATTAATTTAGTTCTTATGGGTAGTTTTTAATCTGATAGTATTTTTAGGATTAAAAATAATACTAAAATCGAACTTTTAACTTTCATAAATTAGTTGTAATTTAAAGTTCTTTTTTATAGTTTCTAAACAATTTCACTTGAAATGACATAACATGAATGTAAGAGATTATTTATATTTGACTAAATAAAATTTCATGAGCTTTGATGTAAATAACTTGGTGATTTATCAATAAGAAATTTTTTTTTAATAATTCATTAATTTCTATTTAAGTTTTCACTTACAGAGATAAAAATGAAAAAGTTTGTTGACCTTGACGTATAATAAATCATGAATGTTCGATGGAAGTATTTAATTCAGATTTGTAATTTTTAGTACGATTATTTAGATATTTAATATACTATATGGATTAGCGTTAATGAAATACGTTAGTATCACAAATAATAAACAGATGAAACATTGTTTAATATCATTAAGCATAAACATATATACTTTTATTAGCCTTTGAAAGAAAATTGTTATTTTTACATTATATATATAATTACATTTTTTGTAACAGACAAATAAAAATTAAGCAAATGAAGCGTGAATTGAAAATATAAAAATATGTATATGAAAACTCGTAAGTAACGCCTCGAATCAAATTTCATGACCTATAAATTGTAAATTTCATATTTTAATAAAATTTGATGAAATTACTACCTCTCTCTTAATAGAACAATAAAAATATATTATAGATTGTTAGAACATTTACAAAATCTTTATGCTTTATAGTATTACATTTTAAAACATTTCATTATAACTCGTTTCATTTATCCAAAAATTCTGTATCAATGTCATATATAGAAAATAAAAATTTATAATATTTCTTATTTTATAACATTTATATAATACATAATATAAATATAAGTATAACATATTATAATTATGAAAAAAAAACATATATTACTTAACAGTGAGTAAACAATAAATTGAATTTTAGAAGTTATAAAAAATAACATTTTGTGTAAAATTTTATCCTGATTTACAATTAGATATAACATGTTATTAATTTGTTCAGCATTGATCGTTGATTTGGCTTAGAGCAAATACGTTAACAATAACGATAAATTATAAGCTCTAAAATTTTGTAATTGACCATCATCTTGATAATTTTGCTTTATTATTATTATTATTATTTTATATATATATATATATATATATATATATATATATATATATATATATACGTATTTGTAGACTTACATACATGTACAATATAATCACAAAAAATTGCATCAAATCTGTGAAAATATATTCTATCAAAAATATAACTATAACAACTATCTGCTGAGGATTCTGCTTAGTTTATTCTTAATAGTAATATAATTATTATACTTCATTTGGAATCTTTATAAAGTAGCAGAATTTTATAAAAAAATACTTTTTATTATATACCTTTTATGTATTTATTCCGATACTGTTAAGAATGTTTTTAAACGAACATTATCTTTCCATATATATATATATATACTCATTTATATATGAAGAACGGTAATTGCTATATTTATATTGTACTTGGCAGAATCCTTTAATTTTACATTCTATACACATGGTCCCATTTAAGAGAATTTTCATTCAGTTACAATTTATTAATAAACGCATTTATTTTTGGAATGCTACTCTATATTATTAATACGATCCTAGGATTATCGAGAAATAGACTATTAACAAGGATTAATATATGTACCTTATTGTTACATTCACTATTCTTCATTGTGTGCACTTTACGTATGTACTTTTCAAATTGATATTTGTAATAATTTATGTAAATGTAGTACAGTAAACCAATAAAAATGATAAATAATTATAATAAATAGTATGTATTTTTCATTGTTTTCTGTTTGAAGAATTTTATTAAAATCCATAAATTCTAATTATTCTAATTATATTAGATATAATTATTCTAATTCTAATTATAATTAAAATTAAAAATATCTCATGTAAATATTATAGAATGTGAAGTAGAAATAACTAAAATTTATTAATTTGAAATATAAAGGATTGCAAAATGTATTTTATGTCAATAATATTAAATAAACGTTTTTAATTAAATTTTTAAAGAATTAAAAGCTATGGTCTCATATTTTTAAATAACACAATACAATATTGCATATTTTCTTAAGTATTACTCGCTAAAACTATATAATTAAAGATGTTAAGTTTGCTTAGACAAGTTTTATAATTTTTATGGTAATATAATATTAGTTTTATAAAATATTTTGTTTCTAATATTACGGACTTATTAGTATATTGCTCTTATTTTCATATTTTATAATATCTATTAGAAACTGTTTTTATGAAAGATATGTAAACACATTTTTAATCAATATTTTGTAATATGATGGTTGTCATGGGCGGACGATTTGCTCAATTTTTAGAATATTTTTATATCCGAAACTTTTATTGTATATTCTATTTGACTTCAGAATATCTAAATAATTAATTATTTGACTATGTTATTTAATAATTACACAATAAACCTATGAGTTTCCTTATTGTAAATAATAAGGAAGTAGTAAAAAATGACTATTTATGTATGTGATCTATAGTACGTATATACTATTTTAATATATTGATTAAATTCTATAAATTTATATATTTTTTTGAAAATCACTAATTACTTTCTATCCGATTTATACTTTATCTTTCTTTAAAATTATTTAGATACTATTTTTTACGCATAAAAATAAAAATATTATTGTACAAATTACAGTTGTTAGATTAATAAATCAAATTCATTTGAATATTATTATAAAATATAGAAATAGTTGAATAATTTAATAGTTACTATTAAACTTAATGAAATGAAATGTAATTAATTAAATATTAGATATTTAAATTTCAAATATGTATGTTTAATTCCATGGTGATAAGATGATAAATATTTACGTATATTTATCTAAAATTTTTGTAAAAATTTAACTGTTAATTTTTCTTACTTTTTAAATGTAACTAATTTAAAATCTCAAATAAATATTTATTTGGTTTATTTTGTAACATTTTCTATTTAAACATAATTCCCAAATTTTTCTAATCAATTAGATCATGTTTTTGTCACAAATTTATAAATTATAATATTCCTGAATTAAAATTCTATTTCTCGTCAAGTAAATATTAATTGATGTACTTTTCATGCATCTGATTGAATACTTAACATCATATGAGAGTATTCGTATATGTGTAAACGTTAAAATATATTTATTATTTTTTTGAGTATTTTTTAATGACTAAGTGTAAAATGAGCATAAAAAATATTTTAATTATAATTATTTTATTTTTCAATTTGAATAATAATCTTGTACTATATCAGAAGAGACTCAATTATAGAAGAAATTGATGTTTTGTTTTCCTAGTTTAACTCAAATTTTATATACTTGAAAGGAGTAGTAAAATTTCAAAATTTAAAAACTATTGAAAATTATAAATATGGTATTGATTTAATAAAATAATTTATTTTAATTATTTTCGAACTCTGAAGTATTAACTATTTTTTAAGTTCATTTCTGTTATTATCAGTGAGAATGAATTAAATTGAAAACTAATTATATTAAATGAATTTTGAAAAGTGTAGTTGGAAAAGTGTAGTGAAATTTATTGAACAATTTATGAGGGTTTATGCTCATTAATACTATTATCATAAACAATTAATTAAATTGATAATGATATTTTTAAAGTGATTTATGAGGATTTATGAAAATATTTCTATAACAATAGTGGATAACATTATGACTGCTGTTAAAAAATATCTGATTTTTCAAAAATAAATTTAGCTAATTGCTTGACTTAATATAATAACATAGAAATTGTTTTCATGTATAAATCGTCATAAAATTTTCTGACTATATTTAAATGCTATACTTTATTAGGTTTTAATTATGTTTTTAGCTGCACAACAAAATGTACTTTTATAATTGAAATATACCATAAACATAATATAACAACCATACCATAACAAGGCATGTATTTTGATAGAAACTGCGAGTTAAACATACATGTATATCTATTTATCTATCTATCTATCTATCTTTTATATAAAGATTTTGAGATCTGTTTAAAATATGTTTAATTTATTTATTTGTCGAATCTATTAATCTGTCATAATCTCTTTTTAATGGTTTTTCTGTTCATAGGAAAAAGAATTCATTTAAAAATATGGTGTATTATTTTCTACAATTTCTAATCTTGATTTTATAAAAATATATATTTTACACTAAGAATTCATATTATTTTTGATAAAATGCATTTTTTTAAGTGATAAATTTTATATATTTTGTAATCTTCAAAATGTATATTATATTGTAGATATTATTATTAACTATTTTAAATGTAATCACATTAAGTTTTCTTATAACTGAGTCTCTTTAATATATTTATTAACTTTAACATATCTATTCAGTGTTAATAATTTTTAATACGAGCACAAGACTAACAACTATATATATATTATACGCATATATTGTAGAATCATGCTTTAAGATATAGTTTTTTAACGTATCAAATATTTTCTGTAAAAAAGTGATAATTAAAAAATGATTGTTTGAATATTTCGAGACATATTGTTTTTTAGAATGATTCACCATTGTTTGGAGCTAGTTTTTAAATCTTTTTAGCGATCAATTATATTATTGTGAGAAGTGCTATTTATTGTCGATGGATTTTTGTGGATGTGCTATTTACAAATACCAACTAACAAATAATAATTATTACAGCAACTAATCTAACTAACTTGACTTAAGATTAGTTAGTATCATATTATGAAATTCAAATATATTTAATGTGGCTACAGAATTTATACTGGTATGATTTTATAGAACCATTAACTACACACATAAAGAGTGAATAGCTCATCGTTAAATTATGCAGTTATATTAAATGTATACAAATAATCTTCCACGTGATTCATATATAATATACAGCTATTCCAATATATTTAAAAACATTTATTATATAATTAAAGACTAAAGTATTATCTAACAACTCACCGTAATATTTATAAAATAAACTTTCAGGTCTAATATTATAATGCATTATATACATATATTACATTATGTGTTAATGCAGAGAAAAATCAACAGTAACAGCAACGAAGCTCCCTTTAATAAAGCTTGAATCTTTTCATATATTTAAACACTTATCGTGACTAGATTAACTGAATTACAGCCAGTTCTATTCATACGATAAAATTAATCACCTGTATAATAAATAAAAGGCAAAGCTGAAAGGAAGCTGTGTGGTTGTACTTTAGAACTTAGCATTCTGCCTCCTAAGATCATTGGGTATAATGCAGGTGATAATGGCACCCACAAAAAGTACTACACAAAGAACGATATTTGCCCAGTAATCATCCCAGATATCAAAAAAATAACCATACAGCATAGTAAAAGCAACACCAAATACTTGAGTCATGGCATTGAGCAAACCTGCCGACGTTCCTTCTGGCTCTGGATATGTTAATTCAGCAGCAAACTCAAAACCAACGGGAAGGTATCCGGTCATGAAAAATCTGTATTTTTTTTTTAAATATTCGGATTAGTTTTGATATTGAAAATTTCATACATTTAGTTACTTGTAAGTCTTTTCGTACCCTAAAAGACCAGATGTTACGTAAACAATAATGATTTTTTCTAGACCAAGCGTAATGGTGAAAATTATCATTCCCAAAAACGAAAATATGTATACTCCAAGAGTTGTCTCCCTAAAAAATATAATTTTCTGAATTAATGAGAAAAATATTATATATTTTATTGAACTTAATATTCAACTGTACGATGTATAGAAGTATTAAATTAATTGTAGAAAAATAAATTGACCAATTTGATAAAATTAATTTTTCAAAAACATTAAGAATTTATAATATTAACAAAATAAAATGTTCTTTTCTTACATTTAATATCTTTGATAAAAAAAACAATATTTAATTTATAAAAATATTAATAATGAATGTAGTATTTGTAAATTCATTATATTATATAGATAGTATATATATATATATATATATATATATATATATATATATATATATATATATAGTATATATATTATATATTATAGTATTCATTAATCGAATAAAATAACTGTGTGTATTTAATCGACTAATTAAATTAATAAAAATTAATTTTTTATTTTCAATAAATAATGACCAAAATTATGTAAAATGTTTATATAAACATATTTGTATTCAAATCAGATAATTTGATTACTCATAGTTAAATTGAGATAATGAATTTTAGGTTGTATAATTTCTAAAGCTTTCTTACTTGAATTTGTGGGTCTTATCAAGAACGACTCCACACACAACAGAACCTAACATCCCGGCACACACTATAGTAAGTCCTATCCTTCCTGCATCTATTTCGTGGCCCTTTAAATGAACAAATTTTCAGACATCGATGTAAATCTTTATAATATGCCATCTACATTAGACTTACAGGAAAGTGTTTTAAAACAATTTGATTGAGAAGAGTACTAATTGCGTAAAAAATCCCTACATTAATAGCATAACTGATTAAGAGCAACAAATAGCCAGTATTTGTAATAAGTCTCTTAATTGATAACCAAAAGTCTTCGGATGCCTCCGCTTCCCTTTGAACCGCTTGAGCTGGACTTGGCGGTAATGGTGGTTGATCCTTGAAAACTAATATTAAAATTTATACAGCTTAATCGTTACACAAATATTATAAATTATATGTCATTAAATGTATTCTCACATAGTAAAATGAGTACAAAAATAACCGAAGTACATGCAGCTACGATATAAAACATAAGTTGAAAACCTTGACCGATTACATTGATATCATCACTACTTGGCACAAGCATTGGTGGAAAAAGGAATCCTATAGCAATACCAAGCTGTAAAAAATAAATAATTAATTATCATAAACGCAATAATACAATAACTAAAACATGTGTCAAAGTAGCTGTTATTGACTAGGATTAATTTGAGGAAAGGTTTCTTTGAATAATCGTACAACATAATTTAAACAAATAAAATAATAATTATTATATTTTATCTGTATTTTAGTAATGGTGATCTATATGGCATTATCTTTGACAGACAAAATTATATTTTTATTTATTCAAATAATTGGCAACCGGATAAAAAAAAAGCAATGTAACTTGAATTTTCAAATTTAAAATAAAACAATTAAAATAGTACCATAAAATGAAATTATATTATAAAACGTCGTCGAGGTGCGGTTACTCAAGAACAGCACGAATGTTAATGTGCAATACAATACAATGAAGGTAGCCCGGATTATTGAAAATTAGTATTAAAATTCACGATTTCTTTCTTACAGGCAAGCAACATTCCGAGATGCTTTGAAAAGTTCATTCTTTCAACTATAATCAGATAACTTTCATATCTACATAATTTATTTAATGAATATGTTCGTTCAAGTAATTTCGCGCTCTTACGCTAATTAATCTCTTTCTTCTCGATCGGAATTAAATAGCAGTGTTTCTTGCTGACGCTAGCATGCTTCAGTATTGCGCTTTGTTTTAATTTGGACCGACCGACGTGTTAATAGTGTCATCGACTTAATGCCGATATCTACCATTCGGCCTTTTCTTGTCTTTTTGTATTTAAAACAATAAAACGTATTTAGGGATAATTTTGCCATTAGTACATGATTTATCGTTATAATAACAGTCCGATTATTCAATTACCTCATCTAACTTGATTCATTTTAAAGGCATTTTTTTATTACTTTAATCTTGGATCATGATATTTCCATCAACATAAGACATTAGACGTTCTTAAATCAAATATGCACGTGCTCGACTCCTTAACCAACCAATTTTTTCATTGACAGCGCCGAGGACACTTTAACGGGCAATTAGCGTAATAGATAGACACCGGTACTCTTCAATTTATCTACAATATAAATCCTCCTGAATAAGTATACAACTATTTCAATAGTTTCTCGGTTGATTGCATTTGGCATTACAAAAATTACACGTTATTCATTATATAATACATCGCTTAATATTTTTGAATTTTCTATAGTCGAATATAAAATTTCATATTAAAAACGAAGGAAATAAACTTATATACACATTGGTAATATAAAAATAATACATGAAACAGTTGATCTTACATATATTTAACCTTAACATTAATAATGATTGTCAAAAAAAAAAAAAAAAAAAAAAAAATTGGCACTTGTTTGTGTAATTATAAATAGAAGATATAAATAGTAATTAAAATTTAGTTTAAAAGAAACTTTTACTCAATACTATTAATTATCTTTTCACTCATCTTAAAAAGAAATATTATTTTAATCATTTTGCAAAAATAAAATAAAAATGATGCAGAATATAAACTTTGGATTGTTAATTTTGAAACACACTTTTATTATATTTAAAAAAAAATCTAATTCATTTAACTTGGGCCTTAATACTATACATTATTTAATCAATGGTATAGATTATGTACATATGTTTTTGTTTTTTGTACCATTATTGGAAGTAATCATTAAATTATATTAATTTTTTTTCTAAAAAATAGGCGTAATAAAAAAATATATTTATACGACAAATATTTAATATGTTTTAATATTTAAAAACTTTCTTCTTTTTATAATTTTTTGAAAATTAAAAATTTAGAATACTTTCGTCGGCGTTATTAATTTTAGCAGTGAATGATATATATTAAAAGAAACTGTATTTAAATAGCTATTACTATTTCTTACATATTTTTTTATAATATGTATAAATATTAAACGATACAAGTATTAATTCATTCTATTTTACCGTCATTTAAAAATTAGAATATATTCAGATTTCAAAAATAATAATTTTTGGTTTTATAAATATAGTTGCAGGAGATATATATATATATATATATATATATATGAGTTAATTTCTAGCTATTTCAAATATGAAACAATCCAATATTTTACTATATAAATTATTCAAGAAAATTTTAATTAAATATTTATTTATGTAAATATGAATATTGAAGATTTGTATAGCGTTAAATATAATTACAGCATTTATCAGATAAAATTATTGGGTACACACGACAATTTATTTGTAGGAAAGTAATTTCAATAACATGAATTTGTGGAGCATCACTGCATCAATAATATTATTTACTTAATAACGTATATTTATATTATTTTCTATCTATATTTACTTATGCCTGTCTGCAATTAATATTAGTTTGATTATTAGATTTATATATTTTGATTAATTTTAAATATCGTCTATCACTTATAAAATTTTTATTGAAATTATTTTGATTTTCATTTGAATATTTATTTATATTTTTTTGTATAAGTATAAGATGTACATAGGTCGTTTGTACATACAATTAAGACTATTAATTTATTATGTATTTCGTAATGTATCCTGTGAATTATTAATATGTATATATATATATATATATATATATATCATTTTGATTTACCTTTGTATTGTATAATGAGATCGATTTAATTATAGTAAGTCGACAGTAAAACATAATTTATTACTCACAGAGCGTGAAATATTCTTTTAATATATATATATATATATATATATATATATATATTATAATTTGTGTTTATAAATTATACAAGTAATTATTTATTTTAATTTCTTCGATTACAATAAAATTCGAATTGAATTCAAAAAATCTTTTAGATTATTTTTATTTTTACATTATTATAAAAGGTTAATTAAAATTATTAAAATGATTAGTCATTCCTTAAAAAGTGTAGGTATTACAATTATACTTAATTTAATACTAATAATCTATTAATACAATATACTACGTAAACATTTTATTTAATTTTCTAATAATTGAATTTTAAATAAATGGATTTATTTCATATTATAAGGACTATGTTATACTATTTGAATGAATTAATCTGATGGATTCAATCTTAAATTCATTTTTAATATATTTAATATATTTATATAACACTAAATAACATAAAACTATTTATTTGTACGTCATATTATCATGTTATTACTATTATTAAAATTGATATTTTCTTAAAATTTTAAATACGACTAAGACTTGAGTATTAATGAACGTTCATATTTTAATTATTCAACTTAAATTTCAACTAATAGAAAGTGAAATACTTATTATGTCATTCAATATCAAAAGAATATTGCTATAAATATTAGTATTAAATAATATTTTAATGGCTGACATTGAAATGTTAAAAGCTGGTGTTTAAAGCAGTTGTAAAAAAAATATAGTAAATCTTAAGTTAAAAGATTGTTATTAAAATATTTTTAATAAATTATCACATAATGATTGTCATAATATTCAATACCATGTATATAAGAAATTAATTAAAATTTGAACAGTATTTGAAAGGAAATAATTCTTATGCGAATGGAAGTCTTGTAAAAAATATAACTTGTATTATAATTTTATTCACACATCTGCTCCGTTATTTAATTTTTCTAAAAGAATATATTATATAATATATTATAAATTCTTTTATATTCGCATTATGAAAATGTCATAAAATTAAAAATAATTAGAACAAATGAAAAAAGATTGTAAAGTAAAGTATTTAATTAACTGAATTTACTGGTTTATATTTGACTTGCCACACCGATACATTTATGTATTTTATTTAACTTTATTATATTTCATAGAATAACATGATAGAAAATGTGACGATTATGTTTTAAGATTTGTTTAAAAAATTTTTAGTAAATAAATTAAGAAAATTTGAAAATACAATAACAATAATATTCAAACTCGATTAAAAAGTTTATAAAATAATATTCATTTATTATAATGATATAATTAATATATAAATATATAATATAAAAATTAATTTAGAATTATTTTTTAATTTTAAGTTAAAGTATAAATTCATTAAAAATGTTAATAGTTTTTTATTATAAAAGTTAATTATTTTTATAATGTATGTATCAATGTTTTATTCGATTATTCCAAAACTTTTCATTTCATTTCAAACTTTATAAAAATAATTTATATATATACATATAAGCTATTCTGCATTGTTTGTTTTATTGTTCTAATTAAATAAGAAATGAGTATTAGTCTTACAATATGTTTAATTCATGAATATAATGAATTATCAATATCTTTTATTTATAAAATGCCAGTTTATTAAAAGTAAATAAATTAAATTAAGCATAATTTTTTTAAATAATAAAGATAAATAATAATAAAGAGGATCATTAAAATATTTGAAAAAAGTGTTTCATTTTTATACATGCAGTTGAATTACAATTAACTACGATAAATGCTCGTACCTTGAAATTAAATTGAATGAATAGCGATTGAGGGGATGGACCCCTTCAACGTTGTGCAATTACGCGTGGGTGCATAATCGTGCAGAGTTTCCCAGACTATCATTCCTTCGATAATAGTCAGTTGTATAAATCGGGTGAAAGTGTTAAAATATGATAAAAATTATATATAATATAATATATAATGAAATTCCGAAATTTTTAATTTTGAAGTATCTAATAATGCACAGAAATTATAAACTTTTATAAACTATTATAAATTTACCAAGTAAGCATTAAATTAATTGAGAATCATACAATTTTAATATCAATTAATTTAGAAATTATAATAATTATAAACATATTTTTCATTCTCCATACGTTTAAAAGTATTTGAAATTTCATTAATAAGACTTGTTCTTTATTTAAAAGAAATTAAATATTATAAATTTGAATATAAATAAATTTTAATCGATAGTATTTATTACTGATAGCTTTTATTGTTAATTTTAGCATACGTTTTATATATGTTGTGTATATATATAAGGTTAACAATTATTTAATTTTACAATGTTCTGATTATATTTATAATAATTTCTTGATTTAAATTTAAACATAGCTCTTTTTTATATATAAATATATAAATAAATTTTGTTATTAGAATTGATTTATATATCAGATAAAGAACTGTGATCAAACTTAAACTAAGAAATTATTACAAATATTTGTCACATTATAAAATTAATTCATTTTGATAGAAATTAAAAATTATTAGTATATCTGTAAGGATATGTTTCTTTAAAAATATTTTATCGTGATAATAATCAATGAAAAAGTGTCCTCATACTTTTATATAAGAATCCGATTTTTGCGAATGATATTTCAAATAATACTTCATATGGATAATAAATAATATAAAAAATATGAAAGGGTCTCTTTAGATGCAAAAACTTTGGATTTCCTTCAATAGTATAATATAGTATATATTCCTTCATTATTATAGTAATAAATAAATAGATTTAAATAGACGCTTGGTGTACTATAATTTCTAATAAATAAAAAAAAAACAAAATAGGTACCGAATCTTTAATGTTACAAAAGCTTAAGTAATAAACAATCAAAATTGTTGAGTTAAACTTAAGAATCTATAATGTGTTTAAATACTTTGTATATAATTATCGTAAATGCCAAATACCATTAGCAATAAATAATTTAATTGTTAATGTGAATATAGTATCAAATCATAAATTATAATATTTAATTACCTGATTACCAAAAACTCCAATACTGCAGGCACTGCTTACTTGATCAGGACCAAACCAAACAGCAGCCAATCTTGCTGGTACAGAAAGTACAAAAGTTTGACTGAAGGCAACTACAGTATGACCAAAAAAAGTTAACCAAAATCGATCGGGATTTACGCTGAATACTTTTAACCAGGAACCGGCAGCAGTTCCCAAGGCACCAAGAAGCGTAGCATATCGCAGACCCTAATTATAGGATTTTTTGAAAGAAATTAAAAGTCGAACATTTTAATAAAAATATAATTTACTATTATTTTTATTAATTAATTTTAATACTTTTTAATTTTCAATCTTAAATAATTGATGCATGCACAAAATTTTTATATTAAATTAAAAGATTATGTATTATTGATTAGTATTTTTAATTATATTATTGAGTCTAGAAGTAAATTGCATTAATTTGATAATCGTCCTTATTTTTAATTTATATAATTTATAAAAGCACGATTTTTTGATGTCATAGGAAGTAAATAATAAAAAAGTGTACTTACAAATTTATCTAAAAAATAACTTGCTGGGAAGATAAAAGGAATGTAAGTAATCATATAAATCATACTAGTCATGTCTACCGCAAAACTAGATACATCGTAGTATTTCATAACTATATTAGTGATGATACTATATTGAATCCATTGCATGGCATTACTTGCACTATATAAAACGAAAATGATAAGAATCAACCATCGTCTTTTATAGATTTTTGTTTCCACAGCCTACCAACATAAATTAAAAATAGTTATTAATTGTAATTTAGCTATATTTTGATTTGAGATATTAATTGAATTTTACATTTGATTAAAGGATTGTTTAATGTTACATTGCTTCTTTATGATGAGCACAATGATATGTCGGTATGATAGACATTTTTTTTTTACTAAGTTCACAAACAATCTTAGAAATAAGATCAATTATGTATATAAAGAGTTAATACGTTAATATTGTAAAAATAGAAAAATCTTTTAATAAATACCATTTAAGTTAGTACTGACCTAAATTTTACTTTATAAATAATTTATGCACTTTACTCGGTAAATTCGATATGTAGAACCAGATTTCATTCCAAAGAAATATTTAATATTTCATATTTCAATCTTATACTTAATCGCACTCAGAGCGTTTTCACAATAATTCATGCGTCATTTGATATTATCTCAAAGATTTAAGTCGTACTTTATTGTGTTTTAAAATTTTTTTTAATAGAAATATTGTTTAAATTAAAATTGTCCGTTTTACAAATGTAAATCAGTCTTTTATTTATTTGAGTTTTAAGAAATATCATAGTATTCGTTATTTTAATTTAAAGAACGCACATTTAAATATTTTTCATAATATGGAATGAAAGTTTGTTAAAAAATATTCTAGCCATAAAAAATTAATTTAAATAATTTATTGCCTAGGAAATCAAGTTAATTTTTTGAAATAGCATTTTCTAGCAATCTTAAATAAAATATCTTATTCCGAAAGTTATTAGTCCTTTTTTAATTTTAAAAGAAATTTTTTAACCAATATTACATAATATTGGTTTTATTTAATTAATATTTAAGACTTGTGGATATTTATTAAATATTTAAAATTATATATTAATAGAAGGAACGTATACAGAATATTTATAATTTAAAAATGGTCCAACAGTTACATGTAAAAAATATTTGTCAATTAAACGAGTGTATTTAATTCTATTTTAATTATTTTTGTTTCAAACGCACGTTTTGAAATTAATTAATCAAATAAGAACTTTCTAAAATATAATGAATTAAAGTTATTCATAAATTAGTCAGAATTTTAGTAGATTCTAAATTATTTATAAATAATAATTATATCCATAAACTGCTACAAAAATGAAAAAAATCAGATATCAGCAAAAATTGTGAGCACAGAAAAAATGACTTAGTTATTCATTAAAATAACATTTAGGTAAATTATATTAACGATATATGAAAATCATACATTGTGTTTATTCTACTATTTAAAAGAATTCTTATTTTATATGTACATTAATTATAAACATTTAGAATTTTTATATTTTTTATATATTTTGCGGTTACATCATAACAATAGAACGACTTATAACGATACACAATAATGAACGAGCGTTGAAATTATAAATATTTCAAAAAATTCTTGAAAAACTGCAATTGACTTGGATAAAAGGAAATTTATATTTAAAAGCTGTATATACATATTGTTATAAATTTTATAATTCTAGTAGAAAATTTATTCATCGTAAAATAATTGAAACCTTCAAACTTTTCTTTTTAAGATAAAAACCTAGTTCGCTCTCTTCATGTTCTTCATTTTAAAGAGTATAATAAAATTGCGGCTTATTAATAATTAATTATAGATAATTGATTCAAAGAATACTAGTCTTAAATTAGTCATTATGAATTATAAGCCTATTATGTAGTGTTTGTTTTAAAATTAATATGAGCATAAAAATCTATGCAGCTATATATAAATTTTGTATATTTATTAAAAATGTTGATATTATTTTAATCATTGGAATTTTGTGGATCATTCTTTATTTGCAGAGAAGTATATTAAATATTCTAGAAATTGCAAAAATTAAGTATGTAAATACTTTTAAACAGCTATAAAAATTAAAAAGATATATATTATTAATAATATTCTAAATAACGTTAAAAAGATAGTTGATGGATTTAAGTGTTACGGAAGCAGCGTCGTATTATTATTATTATTATTATCATTATTATTATTATCCGAGATGTAAGAAAAAAATCTACTATATACAATTAGACATAAATATAAATAATTGTCTTGAAATATAAGTTGTTATACATTTGACTGAATAAGTACATATATAGTAATTAATTCGATCGTATTACTGTCAGAGAATTTTAAATTAAATTGTTATAATACATATATAGAAATTATAATAATCATGCATAAAATCATGATAAAATGATTTACGTACATATAAATTTACCTGAGTAGGCTGAATACCACCTTCAATAGCCTTTACGTATTCGGAGGAACTTTTCACCATTATGTAATTAAATTGATTCAAATTTAAAAAAATATAGCAAACTGTATTTCTCTTGGAATTTTAAATTTAGCACCGCTTTCCTTTAGAATCTATAAAATACATAAGAAAATGTTAAAGAGAGAAAAGAAAAATTTGTATTGAACTTATATTTATTCTATAAAAATTATATATGATACTATGAGATTATTGTATAATAATTATAATTATATATTATCATACTATAAATCTTATACGACTATAAATGACTCCAAGTAAAGTCATAAACTAATAGCTTAATCGTATCTTATATAATAATTATAAATCACAATGTAATTATTATCGTATGAGTAATTAAATATCACATTTTAATAATTCTATTATATATGCATTTATAAAGTTCTACGATTTTATAAGTATTCCTTTCGTAATATAATATATGTATATAAGAAATTACTTTGAATAATTGTACCATGTGTATTCTTTAATATATATTATTTTAAAAGAATACAAATTCAGTTCATAAATTTTGTTAATTTTTGTTAAAGCGTAATAATTATGTCGATTTTATTTATATTGTAATAAACATCTAAATAAATCTACGTAAAAATGTATACATAAATATATCTATATAAAGATATAATAATAGTTATTGCATTTCGTTTATTGACTATTCCTAAATGTATAGTATTTAAAAAACTTTAATGAATTCTAAATATCACAAATATATTTATGTAATTATGCATAATATTTCAAATAAGTACATTAATAAATCTATATATTTACCATTTTCAAAAGGATTTACTAGAAATAGACAATTCAAAATATATTTATCATTTATAAAATAATTAATGGACTCACAACAATTAGTTATTATAATTTGAACAATACATTTATACTTTGAATTATTAAAAAAATTTAACCATATGAAATTTTCATTTTTAAATGTTAACAATGCCATACTGTATTAAATAATGGAAAATAATATACATATGAAATAAAAGAAATATTATGTCATATTACACTATAAAAATTTTATTTAAATTCAAAATTCTTATTTCACGAACCAATAACTTATGTCTATGTCACTGTTTGCAAATATTAATGCATGTGTCATTACGCATGATAAATGACTATAATAAAAATATTTTTACAAATTGAAAAATATCACACATATAATAATTAATTAAGAACTTTTAATATTTATAAAAAAATCAATTTTGTATTTAAAAATATTAATAAAAAATATTTCACGAAATTATATTTATAATTGCAAAATAACTTGATTTATTTATAATTTAAATATAGTCCATACTACAAACATATTTAAGTCTATATTGTTTTTCTTATTTAATTAAAACTTAATAACAAATTTTATCCTTTTTTATCTGATCATTTTCTTAATATTATTATGGACATATAAAATTAAAATTTAATACTTAATTAAAACAATTTATACAATTTTTTATTTACAGTATCGGCCTTTACAAGCATTAATTTTTAAATAAAATATGTCTATTTGTAATACAATTATTCGAAAATCTTATTATAAAATTATTCTTCTTATCAATGTTGAAATTATTATGAAGCTCATTTATCTAATACACTATACGGTTTTTACAAATTAGTGGCATATAAATATAATACTTAATTATATTTGTTATCTGTGAAGTTCGTTGATCTAGGAAATTATCGAATGTGTGTTAAAAATTTCTGTCTGTTTGGTGTATTTTATCAATAACATGATCTTTTACGATCGTATAAGATTAATATTAGTAAAATTACTGTATTTATACATATTATTTATTTACTATTAAAGTAAAAACAGTTTACTTAAACAAAAAATTATAGATTTTTAAATAATTATAAAATTTGTAGTTTATTACTATTTTAAAATATAATATATTTAACAAATATTTTAACTAAACACTTGGGCATATATTTAATACATGTAACGAAATTATATATAATGATTTCTATCATTTATGAGTTATATAATATTATTATGAACTGTCATTATTTAATAAATAAATAAATAAATAAATAAATAAATATATATATATATTTATACATATACAAATATATATACAAATATTTAATTTATATACATACATTTCACTGTATAAATATTTAATTTATATATAAATATTTCTAGTAGTTAACAGATAAAGAATACTATTAATTTCTAAATTTGTTTTTTTATTTTAAGTTTAAACATTGTATTTACGAACATTAAAGAATCGTTTTTCAATATTAATAATTAAGTTATATTTTATAGAATTTAAAATTTCTTCAATACATTTTTGATTGTTAATATCTCTGATTTGATAAATATTATAATCAGTAGTGTTATTCTCAAGATACGATAAAATGATTTATTATTAGTCCAAATATCAAACTTCGATCATAAAGTAACTGAAATAATTCTATCGTAAGATTTACTTAAACAGTACTGCATTTTTAATAAAAATATATTTCTTTTTAATATAAACAATTCTATAAATATTCGTGTATAAATTATATGCATTATAACTACAATTGAAAATGTAATAACTTTTTAATTTTTATTTTCACTTTACTACGTAATATTAAACCATTTTAAAAACTGATAATAAATTTATGTAATATTAGTAAGGAATATATATAGATTGACTGTAAATTAAGTTCAATATATAATAATTGGGAAAAGATTATTTGAATTAATACAATACAATTAATCAATATTTAGCACAATTTTAATTTATCAAGGATTTAGAATCATTTCTAGGTAAATAAATTGGGATACTATTATATTAGTTTTCAGAATATTCTATTAATCTTGATATTATATATTTTTATAATTTCCTCATGTACAATATTTTAAAATTTTATTCGATATATGACTTATAAACTATTTTCCATTTATATATTTTTGATATTATATATTCTCTATTATTTTTTGTAAATGGTTCTTGTGTCTATGTATAATGTGTATATTAAATTTTTGTTTATATTCATATTTATTGATTATAATAGTTTCATTTGAAATAATTCGGTATGATAATATATTTCTAGTTTTAATTAAATAACCAGCTTTGATTGAAATTAATTTAGAATTTTTATTTACTTTGTTTACAGTGAATTTTGTGCATTTTCTAGAAAATCATTTAAATAATTTAATTTTATTATGTACATAATTTAGACAAGCAAATAAAATCGATATTTTAATTTAATACCTTAATTACAATTCGAATTTAGTATTAATAAGCATGAGGTGATTAATGTATTCATCAAGGTCAACTCATAAATATTCCATTTATTCCACATATTTATTTAAAAAAAAAAAAAAATTTAAGAGACAGATAATTATTAAACAATTCATAATATTTAGATGTTAGTTATTCTAAATTACGTTTACTCTGTTGCAGTTTAATTAAAAAGAAAAATATATACATGATATTATGATCAAAACATGTATCCATCAAGATAGTAGATAGTTAGATAAAAAAATGTGATGATATTAACTAATTTTTTATAGTGAAACATATTTTATGATAATATGTTGTATTATGATATACATATTATTGTAAAGTTGTATATTGACTCAATAATATAACTGTATTTATATCGAATTCATTTTAAATTATATATATTCTAATTCTACGAATGTGAACTATATCAATCAACCTATAATGTTCTTTTCTATTATATAAAATCAGCTATAAAGATTAATTAAAATTCTTTCAAGATAAGTATACAAATAACGATTTGTGAATACGTTTATATTCTTTTTTTATATACATTTATATCCTTTCATAGTAACAAATTTAATGTAACTATTTATATTAATAATCTACGACGATTTAAATATTATTTCATTTTTAAATGAAACTAATTTATATTAAAATATGAAAATAATTAAATTTTTTCCCACCTCTATTAAATATTGTCTAGATATTTGTAGTTTCTTATTTATGTAAATTTTTTTTAATTTTGTTTTATTAATTATAAAAAATGATATCTAAGGATGATTTGAATTGAATGAAAGATTTTATAAGTCTTAGATAAAGATATTAACAAATTTTGGATTGATATAACAATTCTAGAAATAGTCAAATATGTACTTAATTTTAATCTTATGTTTACTTTATATTATCTATTAAACAAAATTTAAGTACACAGGTTCTATGTACCGACTGCATTAATGCGTTAATGTATAGTAAGACTCTTACTATATAGTTTGCGATTTATTACCTCTTTCTTAAAATTAAAGAAATTTTAGTTCCACTATTGTTGGTAATTGTTCTTACTTTCGATGCACACAAGATTTTTGAATTGCACAAAGTTAATCGTATTTAACTCATGTCTACAGAAGAATGGCAAAAGCGATTTAAAGGCACCTATATACAATGATATTGTAATTCTCAGTAATTACAACATATCATACTAATACGAGTTTTAAAAAATCAGAAACTAATGTAATGTATTATACAAAGAAATAATACATAATAACAAATTAAATTTAAAGTTAGTTTGGTTCTATTTATTAGAATTTTTCATTACTTATTTCTTAATTTATGATATCAACAAGTAATATCTTATAATCACTTTATATAATTTTTTTACCGCGATAAATTTATAAGATTTAACTTGTTTAATAGATAACAATCTGACTTTACAGTTGCATAACCCAAATTAATAATTTTCTTTAAATTGAAATATTTTTTTCGCAGTAAAAAATATCTAAAAGTTTTTTTTTGATATATTAATATTAGAACGTTACATAGATTTAAGCAATATTTAATTATATATAATTACCTAAGTTAATAAATACTTTTAATAAATAAGTAAAAAATTGTAAAAATAATAAATTCAATTATATATTTAATTCAGTATTTTTATTTAATTGTGCGTGCTTGAACTTATACACGTATGTTTAAGTCTGAAAAAGAAAGATAAATTAAAAAAAAAAAATTACAAAAAAATGTGTATTTGACATTAACATTTAAGATTAGATTATATTAACGCATATTTTAAAACATGAAACATGAAAT